TATATATATGTATACAATAGATCTCAGTAAAAAATTTAAATTGTATAAAACCTAGATCGTTTATAAGTACTGTTAAACAATATTGCTTATAAAGACCATTGCTCATGCTCTTATAAGTACTGTTAAATACCACTGTTTATAAGAACCGTTGCTCATGCTTTACAAATTATAATTTTAATCTATTGAAATTCATAAATTTTTTAAAATTTTACTTATTTACGTGAATATGTACAATTGTGATTCTCATATTCTCGTAGACATAAATTGTTCAAAAATTATTACATTAAAAATAAATCATGTGTACTTATTAATATTATTATATTATAACGTGTTAGGCAGCTTTATAAATGACATCAAATCATGACATCATTTTTACGTACAAAAATTTTTAATTGGAGTTATAAGAAACGACTTATTTTTTACAAAAATTATTATTTTGTATGAAATATTTTGTAGAAAATAAAACTTATGTGAAAATATACTGTATAATAATAAAATTTCGAAGAATATTTAGATAGACTTTATTGCCGCCCTTACTTGTTTCAACGAATTAGATTTATATGCGATACAATTATTTATAAAATTTCGTAGCAAGCTATAAATTTCTAAAAGTTTTATAATTCATGCAACTCTACTGTTTGACCACAAAGAAAATATCTTTCAAAATATTTACAAGAAGAAAAATTAATATCTATAATAATATAATAATATAAACATATTACTTTTAATCATTATATATAATTTTATTATTATCAAAAATGTGTTATTTTATAAATTATAAATCTTTATTAGATATTATTACCTTGTTTTAAATTTTTATTTGCGTAATGTAGAATCAATTCACAGTATTGATTTCTTCTAATATGATATAAAAATGATAATATAAAAATGATATATGTACATCCTGTAGAATCGTCATTTCCTGATGTGTCAGACACATTTAGTAGATACGGAATCTGTTATCGCGGATTTATAGAAGGAAGTCGAGTTCCTTTCTACCAGTTATTGCCTGTCGTCCAATAGTCTGGATCGTATAAAACGGACCATATACTTCAATAAAAATTCTATTTAATTCTATTTAATTCTATTTAATTCTCTTATTAATTTCGTTTAAATCAAATTATCGTGCTGAATAAATGTAAAAAATTATTTACATCCAATAATATTTACATTTAATAATTGTTAAACTTATAAAGCACGTTTTCATTGATAATGAAAAAAACAACGATGAATGCGCTAATGTTCTTTATTTTTGCAAGTCATGTCCTACATATTTTTGGAAAAGTAACTGTACTGCGCGGACCATTATTATCTACAAGGCCCGACAAAATAAAATTGAGATGTCTCTCAGAGGATGATGGCGGCGCTCTTGTATGGAACTATAACTTAATCTGGCATTATTATCAAGCTGAAAAAAACAATTTACGTAAGTTATGAATCAAAACTGCTGATTTTATAATTTACAGAACAAAATATATTTATGTGTTTCATAAAAAATTATTTTTTATACTTTTACATACTAAGATTCTTATCAAAATTTAGTTAATATCTTTTAAATAAATTCATTTACATACAACATTTAATAGATATTTTTATATTTATTTGCGGCAATGTATGTATTATATAGACATACTTATCATTACTTCAGAGTTTCGCGATATAATTGGATTTAACAATAATGCAATAAATTGCAAAATGAACGCAAACGTAAGCTGCTTGAAGGCATGGACTAAATACGATTGGTATCTTACAAATTCTTTAAAAACACCTATGGGTCCAGTATTTGATCAACGATGGGAAGGTAAAAATCTCTTTTGTCATTTGACAAAAAAGTATAATATATATAAAATGTATTATAAACTATTACAAACAAAATATAACTTTGACATAGCTTTAAGTAACATACACTTAAAATTTTCAGAATTTGAAGAGTATAAAAATGTTCAAGATACCTATTATGTAAATAAACTTGCTGTCGAAGTAAAATTCTCTTTTTCGGTTCGTGCATCTCATGACGCGCATATATTAATTTGCAATGGTACAAATTATCTCAAAGATTCTTGCTATTGGATTATAATAGGAGGTTGGCATAATACATTGTCTGTTCTACGAAAATGCGCAACAGGAGTGCCTTTACTTGGAGAATTTCCCGCAGCAGGTTCGAAATGCAGGGAACCATTAGTTTCCTTCAAGGTAAATACACACACACACACACACACACACACACACACACACACACACACACACACACACACACACACACACACACACACACACACACA